TGTGGCCAAAAGTATGGGACACCCAGTGAGGATCGAACTCACTATTCAGTCGTAATTGATCTAGCGAGACAAGTTTGTTAACCATTACGTCAGATCGAAGAACCCTTAGATGATTTTCTAAGCGTATCTTCGATGTGGTACATGGTCGAACGGAGGAGGCACCCAGTGAGGATCGAACTCACTACTCAGTCGTAATTGTTCTAGCGAGACAAGCTTGTTAACCATTACACCGCCCCGAGGTGCCCAAATTACGAGTCTATTATTTAGAGCTAAATGATGACTCTAAATAAATAAGTCTTCTAATATCTGCTGTCAGATTCTATCCAATAGATGATTTTCTTGAAGTTAAAAGAGTTCACGAGCTTCCAACACGTCATTGCTAGCTGCTTGGTGAATCGAAACATAAAAGCCTGCAAGTGATTCCTCTGCGTAAAGTTTGACTAGATGAGTTTGACGAAGCTGTCAAATAATTCCAATGTAAAAACATTTCCATTTCTTTTTCAAATCTTCAGAGAACAGAGACAGACATAAAAAAAAAATCCTGTCCGATTTGATACGGTGACAATTTATTTTGTCGTGAAATAACCAGCTAAATTCGGTTGGCATTGTCAACATATTTTTTGTATTATTCTCTTAGGAACCTTCTGAACTTTTTCCACTGCCCCATGTTTAAGGACACATGATTCATGATTATTTAAAACCAAAAAATACTCTCTCACATTGATTCGATATTTGGTTCTGATAAACGTTTTACCTCCTCCCACAAACACATATATACTTGCATACATACATATATATCAATGCTCTAGCGAAAGCCGTATTTAAATAAAATCAATATCATGTATGAATTTTCCTAGAATTTATATGATTCCCCACCCCACGACTACGAAAAAAAACTTTTCGTTGATAAAGTGTACGAGTAACAGATAGCAGTGAACTGAGTTCGAATTCAAATCGAGTTCCTTGAGCCGAGTTGCAATTCCAGTCAATTTCCTTGCATTTACTTTCGCAACAATACATTTGGGAAAAGAATGAATCTATCATTTCTCCCTCCATCAGCTATAGGTTAAATAGCAGAGCAAACTACCCATGATTGTCAACAAGTCTAGGAGAACGACAACTCTGAATTCAAAACCGTATCTATCCCTACGAAACATATAGCCGTTGTTGGTAACCAATCTAGGAGAAGGATAATTCAGAATTTAAAACTTCATGTAGCCCTGACGAAGCATATACGAGGTACACAGCCATTGAAAAGATTATGAAGTTCACAATTTACTGTGGTGCGGGATTACTGATACTACGTATTTCTCCAACTGATTAACCTGCCACCTATCAGACCAAAGTGCTATCTGTACCCACATCTGTGGACATAAACTATTATGTCATGAAATTCCCACTAGCAGACGTCTAATACGTATAAATTATACATTAACTGCAAAAACGTTTCCAGATCCTACAAATGTCGAATCATAAAATCAAAAATCCCAAAACTAAATAAAATTTCCTACAGGCCAAAGCCAAAGCCAGAATTTTATCTGCATGCCTTCCCATCTATAACGTCACCGTAACAGACATATGGTAAACTCTGAGTTCAAAAACTCGAAAACAAATAACATCCATATTTTTTCCTGGACTTGATAATAGACATCAGTATGGTTGACATACTCGATCAAAATCTTTTGAACAATTTTTACATTCATTCAAACATACGTTCTGCCGTATTTAAACAAGAAAATTATAATTACTCTTATATATCGACTTTAATCAGGTAAATATAAAGAAATTCATGGATTATTTTAATGCAGCATTATTTTTTATTAATGTAAATATTTTATTTAAATATAGTGAAATTAATGTCTACCGGTTTAGAGATCGAAATCTTATAGAAAATGTGACGCACGATAGGAAACGAACTGTCATACCATTTTTAATCTAGGAAATATTTCTCAGGCCAAGTATGCTTTACTATTATGCCACGGGAAGTCATCACAGTAAAGAAAAACTCAATTAGCCTATTTATGAAACCTACATCGACCGCTAGGAAGTTTTAAAGTCTGTCTTTGCGTATCAGAAAAAAAATTATGCATATTTTATATTAAATGTTTTATGTGTACATTTGTTTAAGTAGACATCACTCAAGCACATGTACCCAATATAAGGTAACAATATATAATATTATGATATAATGCTCAATATCAGAGATAGAGCGTATGTAAATATAAATATAAATGTGAACATTGAAGTCAGCACTCAGTCAATATATATATATATATATATATATATAGGTAACTATACTCGTTTCGAAAAAGATTCGAATTTTTGATTTGCCAATAATCAAATCAATCTCGAAGGAAAAAAAAGGTTTTAAAAAAAGAAAGAGCTAGAAACATGAAAGTCTGTCGAAAAAAATCGCACAGATACAGGTTCGAAGCCCAAAGAAAAAAACCCGTTACGAGTAAACAACTAAGTAACAAAAGAGCTCAATACAACCGTAGAGCAGACCTAGATAAACCTAGTGAGCCAGACAAACCTACCTAGGTTTCACCTAAGCGGATTGTCAGGGGAAAGTTGGCTAAAGAGGCAAAAGAGAAATAGCATATTTATAGGCGATAATCAAAATCATACCACGTTACCAAAGAAAAACAAGAAAAATAAGAAAAACACTCTTTAGCCAGCTTTCCCTGACGATCCGCTTAGGTGAAACCTAGGTTTATCTATCTATCTATCTATATATATATATATATATATATATATATATATATATAAGTACAGGGTTGATAAAGATGGAATAAAATTCCGATAACCAAAAACACTATTCTTAAAGGAGTGCTCTGTACAGAGTAGAGCAAATAATATTAATTTCAACATATAGAACATAAGCATGTTATAACCCAACTACAAAAATAACTATTTTGTTTCAACACTTTTGGTGTTTTATCAAGTGGCAGTGTTGACTGGAAAATAAAGAGTTTTATAAACACTATTCTTATTGCATATGAGGATGTTAATGTGTTTGTCTTGTCATTTGTAAAATCCCTTTCCATGTCTTCCTTATCTGAATTCAGACTCCTATGTATCTATATAACGATTGTAGATCCTTCTGACATCAGCGTTAATTTAACGGATAATTTGGCACTTCGCCAAACAATAAATAGATATATTTTTTCCCACTCCTATTTTGAATAATTTTGTAATATTTTAAACTTTATGCTCGGTTAAACTTAAAATTTGAATTTTTTAATTCTACAGTTAAATGTTAATTAGTTCTACTGATTTCTAATTTAATCTAACATTAACATTTATGTATTAATCGATTGTATTTAGGGTCTGTTGTTAAGTTTTTTTTAATGATCATATACTTGTATTCTGAGTGGTCATCATAGGTTACGTAACAATATTTCTCCTATTGAGGGGGGGGGTCTTAAACTCTTTACTTTGCAATTAACTCCATCATATGACAAAACACCAGAAGTGTTGAAACAAAATGGCTATTTTTGTAGTGATGTTATAACATGCTTATGTTATAAATTTTGGAATACATAACGTTTAATATTTTATATATATATATATATATAATTTTAAACGTAATTTTTAGTGGATGGTCTTCCAGCAGCCACCCTCTTGAACCAGGGCAGCACTACCTCCTCAAGGCAATTGTATTTGAGTTTGGGAAGAAGAATCTTCCTGTGGGAAGATGAATGGAGGCATAACGTCGCCATCACTAGTGATCACTCCAAACGCCTTCGTAATCACCATTAGATTCGTCCAACTCTTTCCGAATCCCCTGCACTCTCCTCAGGTTGACACCCAAACACTTAGAAATGATTGGAGCTTCCGGTGCGAATGACAAGGACTACAGCATGCCGTTTCCAAATTCCTGGCACAGTGAATTGTATCATGGTGCTCTTTTTTTCACAGACGGTGCCCAACTGACCCTACTATACTGTGCAATCGACAAAATCACAAACAATCTTGTTTTTTCAATCACTTTTTTTTAAGTAGGTATTTCACACTGTGATATTAGAAGATCTGCCTGGAATTTTGAAATGTTATAAGAATCAGGGCGCAAATTTACTGCAGATGATCTTGCGATTAGGCCACTTTCTAGGAATTTACGTCGTAGTGAATTATTTCTTCCTTTGATAAGTGTAGGATTTGTCGTTTCAGAGTTGTGGTCATTCTCATTACGATGGGCATCCATCGCATTTGACATATTGTTTTGTAAAATGTCCCTTTTGTGTTCATATAATATTTTATATAGATTCCTTGAGATTTTTTCTATGTATTAAAAAAAAAAAGGACTCTAAAATTCGGCTGAAAAAAACTATAAAATTCCCAGCACCCCTCTGCCGTGCGCATCTGTCAAGTCCTAGCAACATAACAAAATTAGTCTGATGAAGTCCAGAAGCACGAAACACGTCACAAGTAAACTTTTTCCACTTTGTCCTAAAATTTCCCCAACATTTATTTATAAACAGAAGTAAAAAAAATATTGTTAGTTTTTCAAAATTCTTAAAGAGCATTGATAAATGTTCTTCAGCTTAAATTAAGAGATTTCATGTTCACTATTTTGTCGTGTGTCCAAATAATCTAAACTTCAGGAATATTTATGTACTTGCCTCGTAGATAAAATAGTTGTGCATTTACTTTAAATTCAATTAATCGTCCTCACAGTGTTTCAAATACTTCGCGAAGCAGGCGAGGCCCTCCCAACTGGGAAACAGACATAGCGAATTCTTTATAGTCTCCTCTTTTCCGTCTGTGCATGCAAATAGTGACGATAATTTTTTCTATTGTTCACCCAATACAAGGCCCAAGAGTAACCCGAGATAGAGAATTACTAAATGAAGGTTGTTGAAGGGTATAAAGCGAGAGATAAACTGATGCCTATTATGAGGATATTTACGGAAACGGTTCGTCGGCGTTGGAATAGTGACATGCATAGGACATTTTCATGAGACAAATGCCAACAATAATCCAAGACAATCAGAACTGACCTTTGTGTTCCATGTACGCTTCGGCCAAGTGCACATAACTGGCTGCGAGTCTCCAGTGTTGGTCACCGTAAACAATTCTGGTCAGAGCCATGGCGCGTGTCAATTCATTGATTGCTTTGTCACTCTGATCAACAGATGAAAAAGAAACGTATTTAGAAGCAGAAAAACGCGATACAAACATTGTTTTGTTTTTAATTTTATTACTTATGGCATCATTTCATTCTTATTAACTTCCAAACAAACTCAAAAACATGAACGAAATGAACGCCCATTAACTGATTACACGTGTCGATTAACGAATGACACGAGGCTTGAACCTTTCGTATTTAACGTTATGTTTTATTTCTCTTCATCAACTACTCTCGGTCAGAATGTAGTATGTCACCCAACGCTGAATTTCAATCTGGAATAACAAATGTTGGCAGGTCAGCTTATAAGATGTACAATCAGCTTATAAGATGTATATGATATGCTAAAATTACAATAATCTACTACAGTTATAACTGCGTCTCATAAAAAAAAACCCTCAAAACTTCGACAATGCACGTCGTTATATACTGTCTGAAGATTGCGTGAGCGTGAAACTCAAACTCGGGTTACGACTAGAGACATCCTATCATAGGATTTAACGTTGTTAAGCGTTTTTTGATCCGTCTGACATGTTCATCTCGACCTTTTACAGACAAGGATACGCTTGGAGACGATGGACGGCGTACTTTACAAGAATGAAGCAGTAACAAATATAGTGTCTAAAAGGATCATACTTACCTCGCCTTGAGCAAGAAATTTGTCCGCTTTTTTTTCGGCATTTTTTAATTGTTGGTCCGGAGATTTCATAGTCGGGCAATCTTTCTTTCCGGAATGGAAACTTTCTCCCGCAGAAAATTGGCTGGAACCGGAAAACTGAGAGTCATCATCTGTTAGTTGGTCGTCTTCACTTGACGAAGAATCGTTTGAGCAACTGTAATCTTCAGCACTCTTTTCTCTTCTAAAAGCACTGAAACAAAACGAATATATATATATATATATATATATATATATATATATATATATATATATATATATATATATAAAAGTCTCTGTCTATATTTCTGAGATGAGGTATTATGTACACTAATTACATTATTCGGACTATTATCCTTATCTTTGTCGCCATATTTATTACAACATTTCGGCCGTTGTACGCTCCGGCCTTCTTCAGGTGGTTGGAATGTCGAACTGAACCCTTTATTTCGCTCACTGGGATAGATTGTTCTAGTTCCAAGTGACATATTTTTAATGGATATCCTGTTAATTCCCCTCTGAAAGTTCTCCACTGCCTTAACCACACTCTTTGGGTCCTGTCACTGGATCTAGCTAACGCCTTTATTCACTGTGCCATGTGTCCTTGAGGACAGCTGTTTATGAATTTCTGGATATTATAAACCTAATGTCTTCAGCAACCATTTTTACCAGTGCTCATATTGCAATTTTTTGTTGTTATTATCGTTTTTCTCTGGCACTCCTTATTACTTATGGGAACCAGTAATAAGGATTCATTAGACTCTTGATAATGCTTTGAACTTTTAGAACTGTCATTTGAAACGGCTTTGTTGTCTTTCTCTTCGCTGTTGACTGTCACCATCTTTAATTCTGAAGTCCAAAGTTCTTTAATCTTAACCAATAGCAACTGATTTCCTAACATGAAATGGCGAATATTGCAAATAATATCCACAATTTAACTCCAGTCCTAAAGCGCACAATACCAAACTATGATAATGATCTTGTTTATATTAGTCTTAAAAGAAGTGAGGAACTCTTTAATGTAAGAGAGAAAAATTAAACCATTCCCTATATTGTTCGTTACCGTTCTATAATCTATGGATATGAATAATTTTGGCGTGTCTTACAAATTTCAAATAATACTTCACTTTAATACAACTTTCCTTATAATCCTCTTGTATCGTTCTTCCTCTTTCAATTTTTGTGAGAAAACACCATTTCCCTTTTAATAGATATATTCATTCACAGGGGCATTAATAATTTCGTTTTTAAAAGTATATATATGTTTTCTCCTTTTTTTGTGGGGGTGTATAAAAACTTACTGTTGGGGCCACCCACCTCCTCATCAGAATGGACTGATCTCTCTACTACTAATAGGACAGTTCTATGGAGTTCTGGGAAGATCAGGTGACCATCACACTTCCGTCTCTCTACCAGAAGATACAGTTGGACTTTATACTCTTTCTGGTTGTTACTGACTAACCTGCGTTCGTTTGACTACTAATCTCTCTGTTGTAAATACCTATTCAGATATACCAGTATTTTCCCTACGTATGTGTTTGTCCTTATTTCAATACACGCACGGGGAAACACTCAACATTTCAACACTTACCATATAGTTTTTCACTTCTAGAGATAAGAGATCTGATCAAAAAGTATCGGGACTGGTGCTGTAAAAAAAACTGCAACACATATCAATTCAGTATTTAATCTCCTTCAAAGTAGTTCCCTTTCAAAGCCATACACTTTATCCATTAATGGAAGCATTCCCGGAACTCCTTTTTAGGGATAGCGTCTTGAAATCTTTTTCCTTTCAAGTGAGATTTGATTTTTGGAAAAAATTTAAAAAAGTAGCAAGGGGTGAGATTTGGGGAAAATGGTAGTGGTCGGAAATGGGAAATGTTATCATTGGCCAAAAACGTCCTCACAAGCCATGGACACCGATGGAACCTCTGTGGTGTGGTAAGACGACCACACTCTACACACTTTCCTTCCGAGCACTACTATAAACAATGGAAGTGAACATGAACGTTAAAACTTAGTGTGCATGCGCAACAGGGTTCAAGGTAAATCTATGCCAAGGGGCTTCACTTCGCATACTTTAGCTCCATTACTATAGCAACAGTCCCAATACTTTTTTTTTATCAAACTTCGTATATCTGCATATAAAATATTTATTTTACAACTATATATGATAAGATAAAGAATAACTAATAAACTAATCAATCTATAATGTTTTACTTTTAAGAAAGCGCCATCATAGAATGAGATATGGAGAAAAAGAAAGAAATTCTGGCATTTTTCTTTTGTCATGTTTGATTTTACATTAGTTAATCATGTTTCGCGTGCATTAGACTTGTTAAACCAACGTTAGTATCATTTGTGGCATAACGAATTTAAGGAGAGACAAAGCGTCCATCCGAAGTTTCAAGAAATTAACGGATTCAAAGCCAGAATTATAAAGCGTGAATATTGCTTTATATAAGTGTATAATAATTCTGTATTTGATCCCAACCCATCTTGTCTGAACCTGAAAACTATTTCAAAAAGTATACATATATATATATGCACACATATATGTGTATATATATATATATGTGTTTGTGCGTGCGTTTAACATATAAATCCAAACGTATATGTACATTTTAAAAGCAAAAGAAACACACACATCCTCTACACACATATAATTGAGACAAATATTTTACAAGTAAATTCCAGTAACACATGGATACATCTTCAAAATGGACGGTTCAATTTGCTGGGTAAATTCTAAAAATAGAAAGCAGAAATTGTGTTATTCCAGCACAGCCCAAATCTAGTTCCCAGAAGGCATGTTTGACAAAATTACTGCTAAGAATCTTTTTCTTATATAGATATTTAATTTGCTTAGCTGATTAAAGGCCATTTTTCAAGAAATTAGACTTCACTAAGTTTAAAGGTCATTAGACTTCACTAAGTTTTTATCAATGTTTCCTCGTACTAAAGGAAGTTTCCTTTCTAACCTTTTGTTTTAGTAATGTGGAAAGTCAACAACTTGATTATATATTTTGTCATATGTTCTATCCCTTTCAGTGGTTGCTGCTGTTGGAAGTCTTCAAATGGTATGTTTAAAACCTAGACGATTCATTTGCTTGAAGCTATTTTTAATTATGTTCTGGGAAAACGGTTGTACATATCTGCTAGTTTAGGCATTTCTGAACACGTCGGATGCTATGCATGACATCCGCATGAGAGTCTTGAGCTGACAACGCTATTTAAGAACAAAACTCGAGTTCTTAGATTAATGTTTCGTAGAAATTAGCGGTTTTGGAGAAAGCAAAACTGTAGCACAGCCTATTTTATGTTCAGTTTCATTTCCGAAACTAAATTTGTTATAACACAACACAGAAACATGACCATACACGACTCAGAAAGAGAAACCGTTGATCCGAGTTCGAATTCCAGCCGAGTTTCTTACATCCACTTTCGCAAGTGAAAGGTATGAATTCATCTCTTCCTTTCACGGGTTAAATATCAGGGCAGACTGGACTGTTTTGCCTTGAGATGGCAAACAGTCTAGGTATTAGAAAACCGGCTTAATAAAGGATGGGATCCGTCAGGTTATCTTGCTCTAGACACACCACTGCTGCTAAGATTGGAGTATATGTGGTACCCCTATGATTCTAATGGGTTACGGAGCTCATCACGTGACGTGGCTGGACGTTTATTTTTATGCCTCTGTGTAAACCCTACGTAAAATAACTGTGCAATATAACTAAAAGTACTAAATTAATATGCCTTTCAAATGAAATAGCTTCAAGAAAGCAAACATTGAGTCGATGATAATAATAAGGGGTCTGCAATTGCACTCAACTGAGAAAACCGATTTTTCTAGGCAATCGAAAACGTTCATTATGACCAGAGGTAATAGATTAAGACACCCTTCAAATGCAGTAAACTTGAGGAATTCAAATAAAAATTGAGTCATTCTTCTTCTTTGGGTTGTGTCACTTCAGGATGTACACGATCATAGCTCTCCACTATTTCCTGCCTTTTATATTTCTTAGTAAATTATGTATTTTTATTATCTCTCCTGTCCTGCCAACCATTTACACAAGCTCGTTAAGCAGGGGTTATACCCTGCTTCCCTCTGTCCTTCTTGCCTTTAATATGTCCTCTGAGTGTCAACTTTCCAAGCCAACTTTCCTCATTATTATACTCTAGAAATTTCAACTCTCTTTCTGATGCTAAGTATAAGTGTTCTTTTTGCTTCCATTTTCTCTAAAACTTTCTAATTGCTCACATATTCCGTCCATGGCATTCTCAGGATCCTTCTGTAGAACCTCATTTTTGTTGCCTCAAGTCTCTTTATCTGAGGAGATTTTCCAGCATTCACTGCCATAATGGGAGGACTGATATTATATAACAGTTCAGAATGCTTCTTTTTTTTTTTTTTTCTAACAAAATTTTTCTCATTCTTAATACTTTGCTTAGCTTTTGGAAAACACCTTTCGCTATCTTAATGCGCCTTGTGATTTCAGTGTCGGACTTTCCGTCCACTGTTAAAACATTTCATAGACAGTTGAACTGTCTTCATTAATCCAGAACTGGAAAAAAAACAATTTTCTCAATAGAGATAAACATAAAATGCCAATTATATAATACTATCCCTTATTTATTTAATTATTGAATATGATTAAAATAGTTGATTGCCAAAACATAGCACCTCTTATTATGCATAATATTTTGGGATGCAGCTTAATCTGAGAGAACAAATTTAATGACAATCTTTTGCCATCATAATTTTATATGGAAGAGTGACCCAATATATGACAGTTTGTGTAATCAGAATTAATGACAACACTTAACTATCTTATTGTAAATGAAATACAACACTAGCTAATGTTTATTTGTTTCCTTATAACAAATTGTTTTCTTTTAAACTTAAAATTTCGCTTCGTCTTTTTAATAAAAAAAATTCTCTAGAAACAGAAAAACATTCATTAAAAACAAAAATAAGATAAAAAAATAATAAAAAGGTAATAATACTAAATCAAATTCTTCAGATTCTTCTGGCTGTTTTCATTCAAAATTCTTTGCAGCTGCATGTGGCAACAAAGAGCAAAACAGACCATTTATTTCACTGAAGAATTTCTTAAAATTACTATAAAAAAAAATGAAAAACATTTACCACGCGATTTGCAACCCCGCCTTTTAAATAATAAAAAAAAAAAGCATTGGGAATATTTGACATTTTAATTAATAGAAAACGTTTCTTTCAAACAAAGAGTCAATATGAACTCACCCATTGTGATTTGGTGGTTCGTCATTGGCTGCGTTGTGTTTTCTTTGAACGCAAGGAACCGATACAACACTCTGCACTGACATGGCTCTTTTCTGTAGCCGGAAAATAAACAAAGAACAAATTTTGAAAAAGCAATAAGAAAAAGTTCTTTTGAAACAGACTTATAACAAAGCAGACAGATCAAATTTAAGCATTTTCAAAGAAAAAAATTGTCGTCATTTAAAATAGAAATGTTAAAGCGTGGTGTAAACTACGATTAAGGAAAAGATGCTCAGGTTCGATATACAACATTTCTCTAGGATAATAAATAATGAACAAAAGGCACCATCAACAAAAGTCCAAACATTTGAGCGACAAACAATATGGATTTCAATCTTCTAGGTCCATTGCTGATATTCTACCATTACTCCCAGAATCAGTGAAGCATTCGACAGTAAATGTATAACGAGGACGATCGCTTTAGATATATCGAACATCATTGACAAAGTTGCTATACAAGTTCTTCAACTATGGAATCACTGGAAGAAGTTTGTCAGTTATGAAATCCTTCCTAATAGGTAAGGTCCATGAAGGTAGTTTTTAATAGCCAGATCAATGAAAGCGTTTCTAAAGGCTTGCTTCTCCGTCTTACCCAATTTCCGCTTTATATTCATGATCTGCCTAAGAACATATTTAATGAATAGCTATATAAATGAATCAAAGGTATATGGTTGCATCTCCAGAAAATTAGACAACCAAATCCTAGCAGCTGACCTTTCCTCTGACCTAAATCTGGTAGATGACAGTCTGGTTACATTTCATACTTCGACAAACCAATCTTGTAAAGTTTATCATCAGCAAGTTGGCAATAAATTTCAACTATCGCGATGAACGGGTATTCTTTCAAGGAAACCCGTTGCCTTGAACGCCTAATGGAAATTAGGCTACCCCAGACTTCAAGCGGAACTCATATATACAATCCATTGTTAAAGATGCTGGAAATATGGTCAGTTTTTTGTACCGCTGCAGTAAGTACCCGACTCCTTCTCCTATCCTCTACTTTTATATGAACCAGATCAGGCCGAAAATAGAGTACTGCTGCCATAAATGGCCTGGAGCTGTCCAGTCTTCATTTACCTTTCATGAAAAAGTGCCTTGTGGGTAATTAATTATTATTTTCCAACCTACATCCTCTTTCCCATAGGTGAAACATTACTCTATCGCTATCGCCATGGAAAATGTTCCTTAGTTCCACCAACTTTAACTCAAACAATTAAACCCGCCAAACCGCTCGCTTCCTTTCGTATTCAATTAGTAAAAAGGATATTCTAATCGAACAGCCTCTTCCCAAATAACCTCTGCTTTGTAGAACCGACTATAATCTTAACTTTTTCAAGTCCAGGCTTAACCTGCATCTTTCACACATTTCCTTATACATCTTTTATTCTTACAGCTCATACAAAAACCTCCTGCAATAAGCCTCTACCTTGAATAGCTCTTGGGACTTGTATTGGATGAGCATTAGCAAAGCATATACATTGATTCTTTTTTATCAGTTTCTTCTTTCTTACTTCTTTCACAACGTTTTGACTGTTACGCTCTACAACTTTACTCAGGAAACTCTCATACTCACTAACTGTGCGGCGGAAGAGGATAGCAGGTGAGGCGGAAGAGGATAGCAGGTGAGGCGGGATGATTGAAAAAAAATCAAAAATTTAGAAACAGTTTCGAAAAACTTATATGCCAAAAATAAATATGATTTCAAAATTTAAAATTTATTATTATGGGTTATTTATAATTGCATGCATGTATCTCCGTATAGATAGTTATAGATATTTTTATCATTGTGATATTTTTGCATTATAACAAATATTAAGAATATAGTAACTAAGGTCTGCAAATTGGAGGAGAGAGTTATCAAATCCACAGTTATTTCCCTTTTGAAATGTACTTTTTGTCAAATAAAATTTCGTGGGGCGAAAATGCGAAAAAAATTGGGGGAAGACGTGGATAACAATAACTGACACCAGAGAGACAAGATGACAAAATAATCAACATTGATTTTTTTCTTGTCAGTTTCTTCTTCTTTCTTACTTCTTTCACAACGTTTTGGCCGCTGCGCTCTACGACTTTACTCAGGAAACTCTCATATTCACTAACCTTTAAAGCAATGATTCCAAGCGTGGGGCACATGCGCCACCGGTGGGGCATGGTATTTGGTAGGACATGCGTAGGATGTGTACCCTTCGGCTTACTATACCAACAGAATAAGGGGGTAATTTAGGAATGTGTTATTAACAGTGAATCGTTTTCTAGTGAGTCTGAGTGGGAGTGTTAATGTTAATGCGTGTTAATACATACGATGTATACACAGTATATATACATAAAATTATTTAAACTTAATGACCTTTTATGCTTCCTTCACGTGAATTGCAGTAAAATTTTAAATAATATGAAGTCGGGGTGGGGGGCAAAGTGAGACATGGCCCAAAATCGGTTAGGAAACATTGCTTTAGAGAATATCATACAGAACGCTCGATTTGATTTACTATTATCTTCTGTCCATGCCTGTCATGTTTCTTGTGCGATTAACGGTTTTCTGCGATACTCGGACAAGAGATGTGTTGTAAATTTTAACGCCTCCATAACGAGACTGCTACCTTTTAATCATCATACAGAACGACTTTTGCCTTTCGTTGTCATAGCTGATGCCAACCTCCAAGAGATCGATTCATTACACCTTCTTCGCCTCACATTGTCCACTGATAGGAAGTGGAGTGATTATATTGAAGCAATTGATTTACTTCTAAGAAATTTAGTTCATTGTGTCGCGCCAAATAATATTTCTCACTGGAATCTTGCACATTTTTTTAAAATCTCATTTTATAAAACATTTCTCTGTGCATTGCTGCCATAATGATCTCATGCCCTTGTTATATGTCTCAAGATTCTCGACACAATTCTAGGAAGGATTTGCAATGTTATCAATCCTCACATGACATGTCGACTTTTCTACAACCGTAACGTGGCTTCCTTCTGTCATTTTCATGGCAATTTTTATAATAATCTCTCACCCTTGTTATCTCGACTGCAGGAATTTAAGCATGCTACTAGATTGGCAATTGGGTCAAATGATTTTATTTTTAAATAGCTATTTGTAAAGTTCAATTCTAATAGTTCCATTTCTCGCACTTCTCGTCTGTGGAACACTCTTCTTACTTCCCTGTCACACACGTTCTTCAAAAATTTTAATGCAACTTCAGTCGTCATCTTCTTACTTTCAGAATCCTGTTCTATTATTGGAATTTCTCCACACTAAAGGAATTCTCATTCTCTGTCACGCCCAGTAACCCCTTGCGTCTTAGTGGCATTATCGCCATCTTCTTTTTTCCAGAAACCTGTTCCTTTATTGTCCTTTCTCCTCACTAAAGTCTTTTCATTTTCTTCCACTCCCAGTAACCCCTTGCGTCTTAGTGGCATTATCGCCATCTTCTTTTTTCCAGAAACCTGTTCCTTTATTGTCCTTTCTCCTCACTAAAGTCTTTTCATTTTCTTCCACTCCCAGTAATCCTTTGCGTCTTAGTGACATTATTCCCATGCTTTGGGTGAAAATGGTTAGAAAAAAAAGGTGTATTATATGTTCTTTCTTCTACTTAAAGTTATGCTGGAACATTTGTCCCCGACATTTGAACCCTACAGTAATCACCTCCTCATTGCAATAAAGAAGGTTTGATAGATATTGACACTGGTGTAACAGTGCTTACGGTGTCGGAGAAAGTTTTGTTAATGGGCTGTTTGTACGCCACCCCCCCGCCATAATCAACTGATATATTGTCTCACATCCGTAAAGAGAAGTTGGTAACAAAGGGACTAAAGAGTAATACCTGTTCGCTTCCTGAAACATTTTAAGGACAAAGAAACAAAGAAATAGAAAAGCCACATTCTCAGTTATATGGGCAGAATTTTTTAGATTATCTGGACGTTTTTAAAATTATGAAGATGATTCTCATCGTTCCTGTATTCCTGCTCATCACGCCAGCACAAGATTATGATAAAATAAATATCATAAGTCAATACTTTAGACTGTCATTTGCCTCGTTAACTGGAGTGGGGGGGGGGCTCTCAAGATCCAAAAAAAAGATTAAAAAAGAAACGCTAAATAGTCATGAGCGAAACATTATAGCTGAATTAAATTGATGTTAATGGCAAAGAAAAATTATCAGTTAACATATTTTCTGCAAAGACGATGGCTTATTGGTTATTTTAACGAAGATGCGTTGGTTCAAACCTGAAGCAATAATTACTAATTATTTAAAGAATTTCTTTATTTCTGTTTCGTTGATTCTCACAGGCCATTTTCAACACGAACACAAAATATGACGTCTTCAAGTGAGAGTGGATGTGCGTTTAAAAAGAACAACTTTAAAAAAAAAACGAACGAAACGAATTTAAATATTATTGCAGAGAAGCTAGGACGTAAATCTTTGCAATTTCTTTGACAGTGTTTCAGTTTCAGTGTTTCAATTTGTTCAAATGAAATTGATCTTGCGAAACGCAAAGAAACATTTTGTTCTTTGAATCGCTGTCAAGGAAATAACCGTCGCTATTTTCTTTAAATTCTAATTGCATTCTGATTTGCACAAAGGAATCATAATTCCAACACTTTTCGACCTTAAAACTAGGCTGACTTTAAAACCTTGAAAAATATTTTATTCATAGAATATGGAAATTTCAAACAATTACTTCCCTTTTTATAACAATTCTTAGCAAAACCACAGCAAATTCTAAAAATATGTTATCACAGTGTTCTTCATTCTTAGCCACCAAATTATTTGTTTAATTATTCTGGCCTTTCTGGTTTTTAATTAAGAATGTGGTTTAATTAAAATTCTTTTTTTTATCTGCCAATTATTTCTTATTACCCTTTGTTAACAATGAATAAGTTTGTATTTTCTTTAACAAAACAGGGTCCACGTTGTTTGAGTCGCTTTATCTTTTTGTTTTTTTTTTTTTTTTTTTTTTTCATAGAAGAGCCTTCGAGAGATGTGTATTCTTTAAATAGGTAAATTGAATTTTGTACCATCAATGTAGACAGATTAAATACTAAGATTAAGAACAACCCATCTAGATTGAGATATACAGCTAAAAATGAAACACGTATTTTTTTTTTTTTTTTTTCCGACAGAAATCAAACCTATATCCTATTTTTTTTATCCCATTTCTCGTGGCGAAATCGTTTCTATAGCGTACCTGAAAAAAAATTATGAATGGATTCTTTTTATCTGTCATTACCAATTCGGCTCCACGAAGTTTTTTTTTTTTTTTTTTTTTTCTTAAATACTAAGACAACGTTGATTGAGATATACAAATACACAGGGCTAATCCTATTTTTTTTAAAAAAACGTCATTACATCAAAAGACAATTCAAATCACAAAAAAACGTTTAAAAATTATATTTATATATATATATATATATATATATATATATATATATATATATATATATATATATAACGTGATGTGAATACAAAATCTATCCGCTCGGCCCGATGGCTAGGATCAAAGTGTAGTATCTGCGCGAGCTGCCGGGTCGGGTGTCTGTCGAACTCTCTGCTTGCAGAGAGGGACCCAGACGAAGCTCCGCCGAAGGGTAGGGTTTCGTTGGGGGAGGTTGACGGAACTGGCCCGCCTCGGCGGGTTTGGATGGTTATTTATTTTTTTTCTGGGCCTACAGGCTCAGAGATACCCACATTAAAAAGGCCTTGTGCCACATTCGATCCCCGTGGGTGGATTGATAAATACCATCTATAAAAAAGAATGTTAAACATAAAATGTCTTTAAATATATATATATATATATATATATATATATATATATATATATATATATATATATATATATATATATATATATATATGTGTGTGTGTATGTATGTATGTATATATATTTATTTATTTATTTGTAGACACGTATTAGGCAGAATACACACTCACATACACAATAAAAATCCAGTAAGTCTTTATATATATATATATATATATATATATATATATATATATATATATGAAGAAATATAGTTTTAAGGTATTCTATATTTATTTAAGTGCTCAGTATCAAAGATAGAGTTTATGTAAATATAAAAGTGAACATTGAAGTAAACACCCAGTGGCGACAGATTGTTCCACGCTAAAAGCAATCATCAGGCCTGATGACTGCGTTTAGCATGAAACAGTCTGTCGTCTCTGAGTGTTGACTTCAATGTTCACTTTATTTATATATATATTTCTGAGATGAGGTATTATGTACATTATTTACATTATTCTGACTATTGTCCTCATCCTTTTTTGTCATTTATTACAACGTTTCGGTCTTTGTACGCTCCGGTCTTCTTCAGGTGGTTGGAATGTCGAACTGAATCCTTTATTTCGCTCGCTGGGGCAGACTGTTTCACGTCCCATGTGCCATGTTTAATGGATGTCAGTAATCAGTTATCTCTTGTTGATTCCCCTGTCTAAGTTCTCCACCGCCTTAGCCAGATATTGAACTCACACACTTTTGGCCCTGTCACTGGATCTAACGAACGCCTTTATCCATTGTGCCATATGTCCTTGAGAACTTGTAGAGGGGAATTAACATGAGATAACTGACATCCATTAGACATGGCACGTGGAACTAGAACAGTCTACCCCAGCGAGCGAAATAAAGGGTTCAGTTCGACATTCCAACGATCTGAAGAAGCCTGGAGCGTACAACGGCCGAAAGGTTGTGATAAATATGGCAACAAAGCTGAGGACAATAGTCCGAATAATGAAAATAGTATATATATATATATATATATATATATATATATATATATATATATATATATATATGAGTGAACATTGACGTCAAAACTCAGAGGCGACAGGCTGTTTCATGCTAGACGCAAACGGCATGCCTGACAACGCTAATCGTGGCAAACTACTAGACCACAACTATCAATTTTTTACAGTCATACAACACAAAAAAAAAAACATTCACAAAATTCCCGGGAAGAGTGAGTGCCACTTAATTGTTCATTTCTCATCTCGTTGAAAAGGACACAATCGTGTCCGAAAATTCCGATTTTAAAGTCAGTGTTATTGACAATATTGTTATAATTTTGTCCTTTCATTCCTAAATTTCATTAACCGGCCTAGTAAATCCGCATATTATAATGGAGCGTTTTTCGTTTTAATTATATATATATATATATATATATATATATATATATATATATATATATATATATATACACACACACACACACACACACACACACATATATATATATATATATATATATATATATATATATATATATAATATAAGTTATAAAAAGACAAGTTTTTCTTACCTCGAGGACGTTGATTTTTATGACTACGTAATTTGTTTTATATCATAGAATTGATTATTTTTTACCTGCCAACTCAATCTTGAGCAGCACGAATACATAGACTCAAGAATTCTTCAGAAACCTGATTTTAATTACTTCTGCTTCAAAAGCAAATTAACTAATTACCACTTTTTGTATTCAAATGATAATCGGAGTGAGAAAATATTCCATGAATTTACATCGGCGATTTTCACGTTTTTAGGTTTGCAGCATTAAAAGAAAAACGTTATAGTTGTCATGACATATTTTAAAGGAAAGATCTTATGAAAAAAAAAACAAATATCATTGTAGGACAGTTGGGTTACTGTCCTCCAACTACTAACAATACAGACGTCATCATCCTGTTACCAACTTTGACAGTATTCTACTAGTTCTTTACTTTTTCCTTACAATTCTTTTCACTAGATTCTAACTTATACATTTATATGTCTATGGATTGACTATTGCTGTCACATGTGGTTTGGTGCTTCTTCTATGAATTTAAAGATTCTTGATAAAATCCAAAGAAGAATCAGCAATGTTATCGGTCCTGACCTGACATCTCGTCTTCAGCCACTTTCGCATCACCATAATGTAGCCACACTGTCCCATTTCTATAATTAGTAATTCTTCTGATGAGCTTTCTTCTTTGGTACCTCGACGTAAAGAATTTAACTAGACTAAATTGGCAGTTAGGTCTCATCATTTTACAGTTAAAATGGCAAGATAAAAACGTCAAGTTCTATGTTAACAGTTTCTTCTCGAGCTGTTTCTGCTTGTGGAACTCTCTTCCGGACTCTCTTGCTTGTTGCTTTCCAGTTAACTTTGATCTTTAAAAATATAAATGCAATTTCAATTGTTATCTTTTGTCTTCTTAATTCTTCTTCATTGATTCTTCTCTCTCCTTAATGATGTTTTTTTTTTTTTTCTTATGTTTTTTTCCCACTCAGTAAACCATTGCGTCTTAGTGGCTTTATTGTCCTCTCTCGGGTTGAAATAATAATAAAAAAAAAAAACTGGTATATGATAACATCATTCTCCTTCTATCTTACTACTTTTCTACTACAGTGTAACCCGGATATAAGAGAGTTGTCGGGACCGGAGAAGAAGTCTCTTATATCCGGGTTTCTCTTATATCCGGGTTTGGTCTATTATATATACATTAACACAGGCTCTAATTTGGGACCAGAGAAAATCTCTCTTATATCCGGGTTTCTCTTATATCCGGGTCTCTTATATCCGGGTTACACTGTACAACAAAAGCAGACACAACCCTCCTCTTATAGCGAATATGACCCACGAGAAATGCTAATATCTTACTGCCCTACGCCTACTACCAATTCTGACATCCTTCTCCTACTACCTTATTGTCTTATTACTACTAACAATTCTAACATCTCTTGCTACCTTACAGCCCTGCGTCTACTACTAATGCTGCCATCATTCTATTTGTAACTACGACTTACGAATAATGTTACGTCATACTCCTACTTCCTCACTGCTTCCATCTATTCCCACTACTTAGATCATCAGCCTACATCCATATTGTCCTACGGTTTTGACCAGTCATGACATTATCCTACCTTGTCAAAAGTAAATAACAGCGTAGAACTACAATAACAGTGTATGTTTTCTGTTGCGTAGTTTGTGCTAGAAGAGGAATACGAGATCTTTCGAGATCATTGATGAGATTTACGTGCCAGCTCTTTGACGACATCCATAACATTGTGACTTAACGCAATACTGATTGACTGATTCATTTTTTTACAGTTTATCGACCCATTGCAGGAAATTTAAAGCCAAAAAATATTTTTAGATTGTAAGAATTTCTTCGGAGATAATTATGATTTAATGATACAAGTCTTACTAATTAACCCATAGATGGGGAAGAAGAGGTGAATTCATACTTTTCACAAGGTATTTTCGTGTAAGTGAATATAACATTAAGTGGAACTCAGCTCTCCGATTAATAATTCCAAGCCATTATCCATTACACCACCCGCACATCTAACCTTATATCTCCTGGTATTCCCAAGCTCTCACCCGTCTAGGTACTGACTAAGCTCGATGTTGCTTTCGAAACGTACCCTTTAGTCAATTCACGGCGGGGAGGTAGATTGTTCTTATTCCAGGTTCAGGGGATATAACTCGTATCAGTTAGGGGAGATAACTCGTATCAGTTAATACTCACCAGTATTATTCACTTTTTGTATCGTTTGTCCGTTTCTTCCGCCGAACCAGAATATGTGACTTTTCCGCACTGTCAGACCGAGAGTTTGAACTCACATCTGCTGCAATGGAATCAGATATGTTTTAAGCAAGATCATAAGTTTCTCCGGTGTACAAACTGAGGATGATAGTCCATATAGCAAAATAAATAGCAACGATAATTTCTCATAACGTATATTTGTATAAGAAATAATAAATGTTGGCATACATGGCCTTCCGTAGATTTTCTGTTCATTCTGTTGGTGGTCTTCTCAAATTCCTGAGCGAGAGAAGCGTAAAAATTCCCTTTCCAAGAAGGAAAAAAAAAGGAAAAATTGCAAGCAAATTGCGTAAAGGTAAGTGTCAAAAAATAAATAATAACATCTAATTCTGTAATTCAGTTCTTTTTGTTTTCTTTCATACACACACAGATATTTAAATGAGTAGCAAGGTAGTTGGCTAAAAATAATGTATATATCTTTATATGTAAACTTTATATATATATATATATATATATATATATATATATATATATATATTTGGTTGGATAGATGTGAGTTTGTCTCATCTATCCAACCAAATATGTTAACTCTATCTCTGATATTGAGCGCTTTCTAATAAGTACCGCATATAATATATAAATAATTATACATATATATATTTGTTTATATTTATATACATTATATATATATATATATATATATATATATATATATATATATATATATATATATATATATATATATATAAATATAAGAGAAACCATAAACGTTTTTGGTTGTAAAATGCATTTTTAAAAAATATTATGCTTTATTTTACATAGTTTTCCTACACGAGTTTCCAGTCTCGCGACCGTCATCAGGCAAAGGGTGGCGATTTTCACATATCATTAAAAATAATTAATTTTTTTATGTTTTTCGATGTTAAATATTCTCGATGTGAGACATTTTCTTTTTCCTGTTAGTGATCCAAACGTCTTTCTTGAACTGGCAGAGAAAAGTTATATATATATATATATATATATATATATATATATATATATATATATATATAGGCAATAATCTGTTGGTATAGCAATATAAAATATCAAATATTAAAACTGATTCACACATAGAGCTCAATGTTTTAATTAAACAGAGCAACATATTTCATAGAAGTGGAATTAAGATTACATTAGGTTAATGATCATTTTCACCTTGTAAATTGAAATAAAATTTACAAGCATTTTTCAACCAGTCAATGGATGTTAAATTATTGAAAAAAAATGTCTAGCCAGAGGAAGGAAAGAAAGAGAGAAGAAAAAATGAAAAAGAGCAAAAGGGAGCAAATAAAAACAGGAAGTAGTGTAAGTCTGCATATGAGGGGTGGTTAGGTGAGAAAGGAAGAGAAAATAAGAGGGAGAAAAAAAAGAGAAAAGAAATGACGTATTTATTTTATACCAGTAGCAAACAGAAGGCAGTTCAAACTTAAAGAAACCCTTCTTAAATCTATTAACAAATTATTAAATGAGTTTATTAAAATTACTAGAGATGTCTTGAAGAATCCTCGCTTAATGACAAAGGACATTGTCAATGATGTAAAGAGATCAGAGTTGAATGTATCGACAAAGACAGTCACTAGATTTTTTCATCGAGTGGGACTTCGAGCTTGTCTCCAAAGGAAAACTCTCTTGCTTAAAGCTAAACGCCTAAAATGTAGATTAGCATTCAACTCCTTTGAATTTGAAGGAAGTAGAAGTTATTGCCAAAGAAGAATAACTCCTTTGAATTTGAAGGAACTAGAGGTTATTGCCAAGGAAGAATAACTCCTTTGAATTTGAAAGAACTAGAGGTTATTGCCAAGGAAGAATAACTCCTTTAAATTTGGAGGAACTAGAGGTTAATGCAAAAGAAGAATAACTCCTTTGAATTTGAAGGAACTAGACGTTAATGCAAAAGAAGAATAACTCCTTTGAATTTGAAGGAACTAGACGTTAATGCAAAAGAAGAATAACTCCTTTGAATTTGAAAGAACTAGAAGTTATTGCCAATGAAGAATTACTCTTTTGAATTTGAAGAAACTAGAAGTTATTGTCAAGGAAGAATAACGCTTTTGAATTTGAAGGAATTAGAAGTTCTGAGGATAATTGCGGCTAAAAGCTCTAGATAAAAATGGTGAAGCCCTGGCTGTAGCATTAGATATCTCGAAAGCTTTTGACAGGGTTTCGCATGCAGCTCCTCTTCACAAGTTGAAAAGTGACGGTGTCTCTAGACACATTTTTTAACTGCTCCAGTCCTTCTTATCAAATCGTAAAATGAAAGTTATTCTGAATGGTCACTCTTCCAGTTTCTTTCGTACTAATGCAGGTGTCCTCAGGGCTCTATCTTTATTCTTTATTTTTGAATTTCATTAACAACCTTCCTAATGACATCAGCTCTCACCTTGATATCTATGCTGATGATACAACTATTTATTCTTGTCTCAGTAATAAGTCTGATGAATTTGATAAGGTCAAATAGCAGCTGATTTAAAAAAACGATCTTCAGTCTGTTGTTAGCTTGGGCAAAGGATGGCTGATGCTAACCTACAGATCAGCATCAGCTGACTGGTTGCTCTTTCTTGAGCTAACGTTCTCGGCTGACATGAAGTGGAAAGACTAGGTCAGATGCCAGCGAGGTTGGTTCACTGTGTCGTGCTTGAAGATTATTCTCTCCAGAATCTATCGTACGTATCCATTCGTCTATGCTTAGAACATTGCTGCCATATATGATCCGGTGCTCCTGCTATCTAACTAGTGTTCGTTGGTAAAATCGAAAGAAGAATTAACAATATTACTGGCCTCGATCTGGTGTCTTGGCTTCAGTCACTTTCCCATCGCCGTAAAGTTGCCTTTCTTTGCCTATTTTATAAATACTTTCATGCTAATTTTTCAGATGAGCTCTTCGCTATGGTGTCTAGACTCTTCGAATTTAAGTGCAGTACTAGACTGGCGTCGAGATCTCATCAATCTACACTTGAGCTCGCTAATGCCTAATGATTCACTGCTAACATAGTCTAGATCGTAAGGCAACGAGAATTATCGGAGTTTGAACAGAGTATGATCGGGGGTACAGGAATGTTTGGAAATTCTATTTCCAGAATTGTGGTGACATATGACATTAATCGATCTACGGCGTTACGTGAATAGCTGGTAGTATTCCTTACCACCCACCATGGCCAGCACAGTGATCGATCACGATTACTTAAAAAGTAGTATTTTGTGGTAACAGTCGAATTATTCTTTTAATCATTTTCCCCCGAGAACAGCATTAGAGGAGACAGAATATGACGATTGCCTTTAAATTGCTTTTTAAATTACCTTTAAATTTTTGAAGATTGTAGTTGACAGGAAGCAAAAGGACACTTATAATTGCGATGACGAAGAGACAGTTAAAATTTCTAGGGCACATAATGAGGAAAGAGGGCTTAGAAAATTTGATACTCACAGGACATATCGAACGCATGAGTGACAGAGGAAAACTACGCATAACTTATCTAGCGTGCTTGAGTAAACGGATGGCGGAACGAAGTTTGGAAGAGATAACAATAATTTAGTGAGAGCTAAAAAGGACAGGAAATTGTGGAGAGCCATGATCACCAACGTCCTGAAAGGACACCGCACAAAGAAGAAGAAGTTAATAAAAAATCAGTAAGTTGGTAAAGAATTCTACAAGCGGGACGTTCAGAAGAAATTATTAGCATAGAACGTATTGTTGCAACTAGCAAATTCAACTGTGAAATTTATGAGACCTAGCTGCCAATCTAGTACTGCGCTTAAATTCGTGAAGTCGTGCTGCTACCAAAGAGAAAAGCCCATCTGAACACTTACCGTGAAAATATTTATAGAAGAGGTAAAAGGAAGCTATGTTAAGAAGGTGGGAAAGTGACTGATGCCGAGATGCCAGGTTAGGACGGATAACGCTACCGATTCTCTTTGGATTTCCTCGTGAATCTCTATTGCACATAGAACCACCAAACCAGATGTAGCAGAAATATTCTATATACATATAAATAGTAGAATTATAAATGTACGAGATAGATTCAGACGAGAAAAATTGTCTGGCACAGCACAGGGAAACGACATACCTGACAGTAAACTTTCCTAGCAGCAGACTTTCCTGGCAATTGATTCAATATAACCTTTCTACTTCATGTAATTAGAAAACGTGATACCAAGAAGGGGTAGTGAGCTGTTCTCATGGAGATTAGCACTAGACATGCTGCTGTAAGATAAAAATGATTCTTTAAGATGCTCATCTTTAGAGAGTATCTTGAAAAAGAATCATTATCTTACAGCATTTAGACAGATTTGTTCTAGAGGAGTTAAAATTAACAATTCTCTTCTTATCCCAAATTCACAACATACTCCAGTATTCCTCCTTGTCCACTATCTTCTCTTCCTTCACTACCCGTTTCATATATGATCAGCTATGCATGGTTTCATTGTCTCTCCACTCATTACTTCTTTTCGACGCTTTTGCAGCCTTACCCTGAGGTAGCGGCGATATTCACCTTGATATTTTTTGCCACAGAATGAATGAAGTACACACACTGCTGGAACATGGTCTCCTCTGTGTTAGGCTTGACCCTAGCAGATTTCTATGTTGGAGCTGCTTCCGAATAGTATGCTGGTCATCCTACTTCTTGACCCCTTTTATTCCCACCTAAAGACGCTGATGGTATGTTGCTATTCTGAAGGGTATGAATGGTTGTCATTTCTTGATAGTATACCTCTCGGGCGCCCCTGATGATTTTTTGTGGGCAGCGAACGATCCTTTTCTTCGCACTATGGATGGTGGTAATTAAAGTTGATTGGTTTGATTTGGTTCGTTTTGTGGCATATCAACATCAAAGGGTTATTTAATGCCAACAATTCATACATACATTCATACATACATATATATATATATATATATATATATATATATATATATATAACTAATATTTTTTCCTTCAAAAATGTATTGCTGGTAATATTTTTTGTTCAAAAATATATTTCTGGTAATAATGTATTGCTGGTAATAATTTTTCCTTCATTGCTGGTAATAATTTTTTCAAAAAAGTA